AAAAAGAAAAGTATTAACTTGTTAGATAAAGAGGCAATTGGTAATGAGAAAGTAATTCCAGAAACATGAGAGCAAAACATTAAGGCCTTGTTCACTTGAGTGGATTTGAGGGAGAGTAATTGAGGGGATTTGAGAGGATTTGAAAATAATTTTTTTTGTTGTTTATTTGAGTTAATTTGGAGGTAAGTGAGAATGAATTTGGAATTAAAGTTTGTGAGAATTAGTCTAGGATTTGATTGACGTGACAGATTAAAAAAATTTACTTCGAAATCCAATCTCATTTACTTCCAAATTCACTCAAATAATCAATAAAAAAATTTATTTTCAAAATCTCTCAAATCCCTTCAATTACTCTCCCTCAAATCCACTCAAGTGAACAAGACCTAAATTTGAAAAACTAGTTTGATCATCAGAAGATGAAATTCATAATGAAGATGAGTGTTAGCTACAAAGATACTATAACAGTATATTGGTGATTTAAAAAAAATAAAAAAATTAAAAATAAATTGTTCACTTACTCTCTCAATTAGCTATTTCAATTTTGTCTTCTTCTTTTTTCTTTTGAGTATGAATTAACCTTGGTTAAAAAAAAGTGTTAATCATATTATATTACACTCATTTTGTATCTCTTTATATATTTAATCTTCTTAATTGTATACCAACTTTATCCCTTTTTATTTAGTGCTTTCTTTTTATCTATTACTTAAACTTTAATTTTTTTAAACAAATTATATGTAACGATTGAATTATAGCATATAAATATTATCAAATAGGTTATTATATAATGATATCAAACATATAATTCATAATAGATAGAAATTATATCATGTATAGTTCTCTGTCTACAAAGTTTTCTAAAGTAATATTTCAAAAAGGAATAAAAAACAAAAATATTACATAACATAAGTATCCATATTTATATTATAAACTATGTAATCAACTACACAATCCCATTGCAGCTTTAATATTGTTCATCTCATGTGTCTCTACATTATTCTTTATTCTGATTATATAGCTATAGTAGGTCTCTACATTATTCTTTATTCCGATTATATAGTTATAGATACCAAATCATAACAAAAAAAAACACATAAGATAGGTTAGAGCAAATTTAAATCATACTACTATTTTTATATACTAAATTTTAAGAATTATACATCTTTTCATAACTTTACATCACACTCAATCATCAAAGCCTAAAAAATATTACACATAAAAAATGTCAAAATGTCTTTAAAAATAGAACAAAAGTAAATTTATCCTATTTTTAATTATGATCAGACGTATGAAACTCCAATGATCATTCCTGATACTCGGACAAATGAACGACAAACTCAAAAACCTAAAGAAAACATAAAAGTTTTAAAAGTAATTTTAAAGAGATAGAATATTTTAATAAGATGAAATCAATATTAAAAAACTATTTATGATTCAACTTTACAACAATATAAAATAATTGAATATCATCTTATTAAAAACTATAGTTATCACTTTTTACTTCATTTTCTAAATTCTTAAATTATTAATAATAAAATCAATAATATGAAAATTTAAATGTCTACGATTAATTTAAAATACAGTAAGTACATGTTGTTTATAAGTCAATTGCTATAGAAAGAAATAATTCATCAATTATCCTTCATTTGAGGTTTTTCACTAACGTCATAAGTAATTGCACGGACAAGATTTTGATGATGCTCATATGATTATAACAATTGGACCTTTGAATGAAAAGAAAAAGTTGATACAATTTTCTACTTTTTTATTAAATTATTCAAGTAATCTCTCTTGTTTATGAAATTCTTTATTTAGTATTGTTTAACTTGAATTTCATTACTATCGTATAAGCGTATTACAGTATGTTTAATGAATTTTGATGTGGAATGAGTATTTGAAAATGATAATTACTTATTTATATGATCTATACTTGTTAATACATAAGAAAGATTAAGTTATTTAAACATTAAATTGGAAATTATACTCCACTAATAACTCATTATGATTTTGTATATCTTTTAAAAGTGATATAAAATTAAGTGTAAAAATTAGAATGTACTAAGAATACAAATGTAATTCTAAGTCTTATATTAAATAAATATGAAAATATTAAATAATATAAGGAAAATAACTTATAAAAAAATGTTTTAAGATTTTGAAGTAAATGTTTAAGTAGATTTTACTCAGGTTTTATTGTCTTATTCTTGTTCTTTCTCATTGAATGAAATATGGAACGTGATATGCCATATAATTTGTACACATAATCTAAATATTATAAACATATAAGCAAAAGCACAAGGTAAATATGATTACTAATAGTTGCAGGTTTACACCATTCGTTTTTGGAAATAAAATTGGGCATGCACCAATACTACAATTTGATTTTGTACTAACATCATATTAGTATGTTGTACATAAATATAAATATAAATATAAAATAATATCAAGGAAAATATATTATTTATCTACAAATATCATTGTTCAGTAACTATAACTTTTTTTCTTCATTTAGAGGTCAAATTAAAATGTTACCATTGAATTTCTCAAATATAATACGACAATGTTAAAACGTAATCTCAAACAGGATCGAAATGTAATGTAACTTCGAAAGTGTTTAAGCATAAGATTAAAAGTGTTGAAACATAATTTATAACCAGTAAACATAATTATTTAACATAATAATTCTTAATGGTAAGTTATATAAAATAATTATTTTCATAGCTAAGATGTTACATATTTATATATAAAATACATAATATAATAGAATAGGAGTGGAGCAGTATGGGATAAATATTATATTACTCAAATTCATTTTCAAAAACTTGCTGGTAGTACTCGTTTAAAACCCATATTAAAAAAGTAATTATTTATTTTATTAACTTGCAAATATTGTGTAAGGTTGATATATACTTTGTCATTCCCAGTTTAGAAAGAGTGACTGGAAAATTATAATTGTATGAGAAATACAAGAAATATTTGTTAAAATGTTTTATGGTAACTATGTTTTGTATCTTCACTATGTGTTATTTGCCTCTGGTATCTTCAAAATTGTTTTCAGAAGGGAGTTTTGTACTAAAATCTGTATTGTTTTTGACTATCAAACAATGCAAACTATAAAAATTGACATATAACTATTGTATTTGTCGGTTGATCCTCTTGTGATGAATATTTTTGTGTATAAGGTTGCATAGGAATAAATTTAATGGAAATAAATAAAGTCAGCAAAGAGCAACTGAAGCCAATAAGACCATCATCATATAACGTTTCTGTCATTGTCCTCTCATAAGAATCATTGACTAATTGCATATCCTTTGCACTACTTGTCATGATTACACTTGTGAAAGCAATCAAAACTTCTTACAATGTGTTAGACGCGCTTGCGTCTTTTTTGAAACTGTGGATTTGCTCTCTTTTCTGTCATATGTGTGATATATCTCATTTCTTCTTAGTCAACGATTTAGAACGTTTTCTTAGACAACGATTTAGAACGTTTTCTTAGACAACGATTTAGAACGTTTTCTTAGACAACGATTTAGAACGTTTTCTTAGACAACGATTTAGAACGTTTTCTTAGACAACGATTTAGAACGTTTTCTTAGACAACGATTTAGAACGTTTTCTTAGACAACGATTTAGAACGTTTTCNTTCTTAGACAACGATTTAGAACGTTTTCTTAGACAACGATTTAGAACGTTTTCTTAGACAACGATTTAGAACGTTTTCTTAGACAACGATTTAGAACGTTTTCTTAGACAACGATTTAGAACGTTTTCTTAGACAACGATTTAGAACGTTTTCTTAGACAACGATTTAGAACGTTTTCTTAGACAACGATTTAGAACGTTTTCTTAGACAACGATTTAGAACGTTGACGTCGCTCTTTTTAACCAACAACTCTCAAGTCTTGAGCTGGCTTAGGGTTCCTTATGCTAATATAATTAATTGTCAGGCCTTACAAAAAAGAAGAAACTTACTGACATACATGAAAGAAAGGCATATGTTTGATATAAAACTAAAGAAGAACAATGTTGGATGAAACGGGGGCTAGTACCTCAAGGTCTATGCTTTTATGGAAAAAAAATGTTAGTTGTACTAATCTGATTCATAAAACCCAAAATCAATTCAGTATTTACAGTAAGAATAGGACACATCTCAGGTATGACACCCTTCTTGCTTGTCAAGCAAGAGCACACAAAGAAGAGTCAAATTGTAATTGCTAAAGCACACTCAGATTCTGGACTAGCTAGAAAGTTTGTTCTAACCTTAATCAGCTACAAGTATTATTTGAAGCTCGTAAACAGAATGAACTAAGTATTTCCAAAAGATATTGAATCCAAATTGCAAATGGCTTATATTCTTCAACATGGTTAATATACACCCAGGAAAATAGACAGATAATCATCATCTTCTACATTGTCACTTCATGAAGTAGGAAGGCTATATCAGAAACTGCAGGGGAAAATATAAAACATTGCACCATATCAGAGAAACGAAAATATACTTGGTGGAGTTCAATAATGACACTGAAGATGAGATGACAATGTTGATACCTGTAGCAGAGTATCTTTAGATTCTCCTGAGACAAGAGGAATCAAGCTAAAATGCACAGCATGCATTATCCTTAGCTATTAAAGTGTTGCAAAATTCAAGCTTAAATTTAAAATTGAACTACGTCTATTTGAGCTCTTTACATTGTTCTCCATAAAAATAGAGGTGCAACTACCACAAAAAGATTTCTTGTATATGCGGGATGCACATATTATTTATTTACGGTCGTTATAAACATAAATGTTCTACGAAAATAATTACCAGAGCAGAAGACATGCTCTATTCCAACATGAATCAACCTAAATATATCCCGGTGAAAATCCACAGTTCAGTAAACACAATTCATAAACTATACCACAATTCAACAATGTCAAAAGCTGCAATGCAACGAAGTGCATTCAATTTCATGGAACAAAATTTATAAGTTGCAAATATAATACATAACCAGCCGCAGTCAAAGAAAAATTGGAACATATCTATTGCATCAGTTCAGAAGTAATGAAAGTCATCACATCCCATGGTACACAATTTAGAGTTGCAGATGTAATAATACATAACCTAGTAATGTTCAAAGAAAATTGGTACCCAACAGACGCCTTTCAAATTTCCCCTCTGTAACCTCCAGATCCAAAATAATCCTTTCTATTATTTGCAATCGCCATGCTCTTCTGATGTTCTAATTTGGGACAATCTCTGATACGATGACCAAGTCCACCACAATATGCACATCCCTTGACTCCACTTATGCCTGTGATTTCATCATTGTCTTCCATTGGATCGTTCAACTCAGCCAAAACTGGGGGAATCCTTTGTTTTGCTTCTTGCAATAGGTGTTTCAAATCAAGTAATGTTGTTTCACTTTGATTCTTGTTTATAAATGTCGTTGCTATACCAGTTTTCCCACATCTACCAGTTCGTCCAATCCTATGGACATAATTTTCAATTTCAGCTGGCATGTCATAGTTAATGACGTGCTGAATATCAGGAAAATCCAAACCTTTGGATGCAACATCAGTTGCCACCAACACATCTTTCTTGCCAGCCTTAAAAGCTGCAATGGCATACTCTCTCTCTTCCTGATCCTTGCCTCCGTGAATCGCCACTGCTTCCACTCCTTTCAAGAGAAGATATTCATGGATGTCATCAACGTCAGCCTTATTCTCACAAAATATCAGAACTGGTGGTGGGGTTTTCTGTAGGCACTCAAGGAGATAAACTATTTTTGCCTCCTGCTTGACATATTCTACCTCCTGAATTACATCAAGATTTGCTGCCCCTGCACGCCCCACGTTCACAATTATTGGTTTCACCAAAGCGCTCCTGGCAAAGTTCTGAATTTTTGTTGGCATGGTTGCAGAAAATAGAAGAGTCTGCCTTTGAGCTTTGAAATGATCAAAAACTTCTCTAATGTCATCTTCAAATCCCAGATCCACCAACCGATCAGCCTCGTCTAATGTTAAATACCTACAGTTGTCAAGATTCATTTTCTTCTTGGCCAACATATCTTTCAACCTCCCAGGAGTGGCAACAACAATATGAACACCCTTCTTCACAATCTCAAGCTGAGATCTCATATCTACTCCACCAATACAAAGCAAAGGCCTGAGCTCCGGATATCCAGCTTCTTTCAAAGGTATCAAGAATTGTTCAACGACTTCATAAGTCTGCCTAGCCAGTTCCCTTGATGGGCAAATAATCAAACCAAAAGGACCTTCTCCAGGAACAATAGGCATCATAATCTCCTCTTGCATTGCCACCATGATCATCGGTAGAACAAAGACAAGAGTTTTTCCAGAGCCCGTGAATGCAATCCCAATCATATCCCGCCCTGACAAGATTACAGGAAGTCCTTGCACCTGAATAGGTGTTGGTTGCACAATCCCCTTGGCTTTCAACTTCTTCAAAACTGGCTCAGGAAATCTCATATCCTTAAAATTCTTAATCGGGGGTGGGATATCACCACCATCAACTATTATATGCCACTGCTTCCGAATCAAATCACACTCCTTCTTGGACATCCTTCTTACGTGCAAAGGTGGTTTCCACCCTGTTGGCAAAGGTTCAGAATAAGTGATTCCCTTAGCCAATTCACGTACAGACATGAGGGTTTTTCTATCTGACAAGTTTTCAATCATCTCCTTCTCCTGCTGAACAATCTGTTCCGTCACACTGATCTCGGGTTGTTCTCTTTTCATCTGTGAAGCTTTAACCAGCAGACTAGGCTTTGATTCAGCCGCTCTCAATTTCTCCAAATCATCATCTGTGGCCAAAGGGGCCTTCCCCTTGCGTTGGAGAATCTTCTGAGCTTCAATGGCCCGACGCTTGGCCACGGGCACATACTCCTCATAATCATCTTCTTCTTCCATTTTCTCCCTCAATTTGAGCTCAAAAGAACAGTTTTTCTGATCCTGTTATTATTCTAAACAAAAAACCTAAAGTAAACAACAAAATCACTCAACAATTGAATCCAAAGCATAAACACTAAACCTAATGGTCCAATAGTAAGTTCACACCCCCAAATAAAAGAGAAAGAAAGATGCATCTTCATGCTTGTAAACAATTAGACATGAAAGTGAAGAAATCTCACTGCCAAGAAATTGAAATCCCGCAACCTGAGATATTGTGAACTGCGATATTGAGAGAAAACACTGTTTTGATACTGTGACTCAGATTTGGGAATTTAGGGTTTAATTTCCCCAGCAACCTCTTCTATCTGAAAGGAAAACTTTCAAATTAGCAGCATTTACTCAAAAGTAATGCATGCACTGATTTAGTTAAATACTCTATGCAATAAAATAATATTTACTTAAATAAAATATTAATAAAAAAATATTTATTCTATAACTATATATTTATTCATATTATCTATTTGTCCTTATTAATATAAATTATTTTGTTAATTATTTTAAATTTTAAATTTTCCATCTATTTTTTTATAATTATTTTAAAGATACATATTTTTTAATTTAATAATTTTTTTACTTTAATAATTATTAAAATAATTAAATTTTTATTTTTTTATCCTTATAAAGTAAAGATGGATACATGTGCAGAAGAGTGCATGTATTCTCACTTATACTCTACATGTACTTATTTATTTTATTAGATAAATAGGTTATGAATTAGATTCAACCTAATTTTATCTTACAATTGTTTTTTTTTGGAAGAAAATAGTTTTATAATTTCTTTTATAAATTTATAGTGTGTAACCTATTTATTTAATATGATTCTAAATTTAAATAATATATTATCTAGTATTTTTAAAAACTTAACCAAAAAAAATGATTAAAGGTTCCATTAATATAATTGTTTTATGATATTGAAAATTCTAAATGTGTAATATATCTAGACTCATTCACACACAAAATCTATCTATATATTTATTTATTTATCACATACATATATTTCAATTACACTGTAAACATACATAATTATAACTATTAATATTTCAATTAATAAACAAGTATATATATTTTACTCAATTTAATTGATAAAATTAACATACAACAAACATTTTGAGACTCATAACACAGAATGACACCCATATGTAATGAGGTGACATGTCTTTATCCTCTTCAAGAGATGTTTTTATTATAATTAATAATTTCAAATTTAAAACATATTAATTTTAATGATTGCATAATATTTAATTATTTTTAAAACTATTCTTATATTATAATTTTTAATTTAAGAAATTCACCAAGCTCTTCACACAACCCAAAACAATAAACCTTCTACATCCCAAAGCAACCCATGATTAAGCTCAAACTTACATCAAATCTTAGCACCAACCATCAATTCAGTGAGAAAAGAATTACCCACTTACTATATTCTGTTGGTTCATTTAAATTAGATTAGAAGTACAGTATCCCTAAATACCCAATACACATTGTCACAAGAGTCAATTCCAATTAGAACAGTTTTGGACATTAAGATTGTGACTCTGGCAACAAATGACCATTAAAACGCAATGCCTCCTTGACATTCATTCAATTCGTATGCAGCAAAAATTCAAAATCAAAGTGACGAAAAAACCCTAAAACGTTTTCCAGTCACAGATCACATTGTGGGGTTGAGAGTTAAATGGAAACCTAATTGAAACCCAAAATTCAAGCTTGGGACCCACCAAGCCGCCATTGAAGTTGAAAGCAAGGTAGTAAAATTGAGCACTGTAATGAGTAACAGTAGTAGCAGCAGTTGAGCTTGACTTACCAAATTTTCTAGCCAAAATTGCTTGCAAAGAGAGTGGAATATGTGGAAAAGTGCGCTTAAGATCCCAAGTTCCAAGATAAAACAGAACTTAAATGCCAATTACAAATGTTGTATTAGACACTAAGATCTAGAGCTTTCATGGCCATGTAATGAGGGACCAAAAGCACAAAAGTATAGGTAGAAAATTAGATTGATCCAACTGTTACAACAAAAGCAATGAAAGTGAAAATAAAAATAAAATTTTGATCCATTATTCTCTCGCCTGCCAAATTTTTTAACTTTCACTATTTAAAAAACACTAACAATTATAGGGTATGATGCAAGGTAAAGTCAACGGTTGTGCAAGGACTGCACCGAATGAACTTGGATTCGCAGGTTGATATATTTAAAGAACATGTTAATATATTTTCTATATTCATGACTTCAAATATTTATAAATACATCAAGAAGTACTAATTCAATACCCTTTACTAAAATACTAACATATTTTTCATATATTTTTATTGATTTAAAAGTTAGAGACTTTTGCATGGGTGAATATTAAACTGATTTTTGTCGCCTAAAATTAAAACATACTAAGCTTTTCCACAAATGAAGTATAAGGACAACCTGGGTATCAATCCAAGAACTCAACTATGATTAAGTTCAGAATAAAACAGTACCAAAAATTAAAACTAATCTAGTCCAACTATCATCAGAAAGAAAATGAGAACACAATTTAGAATTGAAACAAAGCAAAGTCAGTACTTAAATTCTAACTAATCAAAAGCAAGATAGTAATATCAAAGAAGAATTGAATTCACAGGTAAATGTACATTGATGTGAATAAAAGAGTGCTTAGAGTTCTCAGGAAGCCATCCTGATAATGTGAATCCCAATCCAGGGTATTCTAGTTCATATTTCAGAACTTTAAATTGACTATCTCCACTCATTTGTCCAACAAGGTTCATTAGCCTATTCATCAATATAAAATTCACAAACAAATTCAAGAAAGCATAGAACAGAATTTAAATGTGCAAATGATTGAGGATAAAGTATCAATTACACTCAGAAAGACATTCTGACTAAAGTAAGCCCATCACAGGGTCTTATAGTTCATATTTCAGAACTGTAAAATTTTCACTCATTCTCAATCAATGCAAATCTAAATCTGATATACACTACTAAAAAGAAAAGAATAGAAACATAAATTCAGATGAATCTTTATGCATTGGATTTCTGACTCGAGAAGACATCTCGAAAATGTATGCTCACTGTGGAGTCATATAATTCCCAAAGGAAGCATAGAATTGCAGAGATACAGAATCCAAATCATTTTCAATGAAAAAAAACAAGAAATACAATCACACAAGAACACAAAAAATCAAAATAACAGAATCATATAACACTTGACAAATAGAAACATCAAGAAAAAGGGTATTATTAACAAGAAATACAGAGTAAAAGAAAAGGTACCTAACAAAACGCGCAATCAAAACCACCACAGACTGTCACCACCGTGAGTGTACGCTCCAAAAGCAAGGAAAACGAAAACCTTGGAGCAAGGAAAACAAAAACCTTACTCTATAGAAAGCACGTAAAAAAAAAAAACTAATCTAAACTGAATGCAAAATTGTGTCAAAGTGTAAAGTGACGCGCATCCAGTGGAGTTCTCCTCTTCTCACTTTGCTTCTCCCGCACTAGTCCTAGCTCTAGGGTTCCTTTCTCTTTTTTTTTTTTCTTTTCTCTCACTCGAAACTACTCCCTTTTTGCCAAATTAATACGTGAGGTAAAGACCCCCAAAAGCTGCAGCTACTTAGGTTTCTCCAAAATCGCACTGCATTATTAATTCAACTGCAACATTTTTCTTAATGAGCGTTGATCCCCGCATCACCACAAATTTCTTCTTATACCACCTCATTTCACAATTGTCCTTGAGTAAAAATCAAATTACTATAATTAAAACATTAAAACAATAAACGAAATTCGTCAACAGATATTCATGTACGTTGAAAGCCGAACGGATTTCCACCTCGGTTTTGGTCTTAAGGGTTCTTTATTTCATTTCTTTCACGTTCATTTTGGCTTTAAGGATTTCCACGTCCCTTTTGAAAAAATCACAGTTTTTATTGGTTGTGGATAAAAATTGGAGAACGCAGAGTTGAGTTTGTTGGAGGTGAGGGTGGAGGGTGTGATTTGTTTGATGGAGAATGGGTTTGGGATGAGAACTACCCTTTGTATAGTTCAAAAGATTACAACTTTATGAACGACAGTTTTCCATGTTTGGATAATGGAAGACGTGATTTGTATTATACAAAGTGGAGGTGGCAGCCAAAGGTTGCAACTTGCCAAGGTAGATTTTAATGTTTGTTTTCCAATAGTTTCAGTCTATTACTTCTCAAGTTCATTATTTTTCTCATGTTTTTCCTTTAATAATGATTGTTGGATGAAGATGGTAATGTGAAATGCTCGTTTAAGAATTTCAAGTTAAGGAACAAAATCATGTTGTATCTCTATCTTTTTCTCTATTTCAAATTCCACATTATTTTCCCTTTTTAACATTATTTTGCTGAAAGAGAAGGAGAAGAAGGGGGAGGATGGGTGTCAGGGCGAGTGATGAAAATGAGAAAAAGGAGAAGAGGGGAGGGGGGGGGGTGACGGAACTGAGGAGAGAGAAGGAGAAGAGAGGGAGGGGAGAAGGTGTGATGCTCGAAAATGAGAATAAAGAAATAGGATTTTTAATTAAAAATATAAAAAGTTAAAGGTAAAAGTAAAAAAAAAAATTTAAGAAAATTTGTGAAAAATAAATAAATTGAAGAGGTGCAGGAAGAAGGTTGTGGTGGTGGAGAGAGCAACACCCTTTCAAATTTGCTTTAGCCCATCCACGACCCAGTTCAAGTGCATCAGCCTACTTTATGGAAGCAGTCCAATAAAAAGCCCAATAATTTAATATATTGAAAACATTAAATGTAATTTTAAATATTATTTTTATTTTCATTATGAGTCCAATGCATCTTTTTCATATTAGCACCTACACCTCCAACATCTCATCTTGCATTACCAAAAGTTTCATTTTTAACCTTCTAACATTTTATCTTTATTCTATACTTCCAACTTTTTCAAAAATTTCATTTTAAACTCTAATAAATATATTTTCATTTTCTTCTTCTTTTTTTATTAAAAGCACTCTGCACCACTTTAATAATAATTAAATTTAAAATTCAAATATTATTTAATATAATTTTATATTTTAATAACTATTAAAATATGATTTATATTATAATAATAGTTATATTAAAAATATAAAAATAAAATAATAAAAATAAAAATAATAACAATAAAAATAAAATTATATTAAATAAAATATTTAATATATTTAAATATATAAAATCATATTAAAATATTAAATTAAATTAAATAATTATTAAAATTTAAATAAAAACAAAATTTCAAAAACAATTATTTATCAAATAAAAAAAATTGTATTGAACAAAATGTTTAAATATATTAAATTAAATTAAAATATGAAATTAATTGGAGAAAAAGCATTTTTAATTTGTAGTTTCTAAAAAGAGCAAATTACTATTTATTTAAAGAGCACCAAAAATACTCCTAAAAAAATATCTTTTTAACCACATTTTTACAAAACTAAAGAATTACTAGAAAAACCTAAAACTATCCTAATTCTAAGTATTTAAGAAGAAAACCAAGCTAACCTAGACTTGTAAACACAAATAAAAGTGCAAAAAATATAGAGTTATAAGGGGACTTCCGTATTGCTTGTGTAAGCAAGAGTAAGCTAATATCATTTTGTGACAAAGGACTGATTATTGGAGATATTTTATCCATCTCATCTCAGAGGCTACCTGTGAGTTCTCCAATATTAATATTTGTCCTATAAATATCATCAAAGCATATATCGATTTATTTGTATCACTATAATCTTTTTTTTATGATAATCATATGATAATAACAATTTAAAATAGGATTATGAAAGACAAATCTTTCTTATAATAATAAATAGTGTATTGTTTATATTCTTGTGATCAATAAGTCACACTAACTAGCGAGTTGGTCAGGATACTAAACGACCAATCACTCTAAGTGACTGGTGGACTGACCACCCTAATCAATTGATAGATTGATCACTCTTACTGATTGACGGAATAATCACTCAAACCGACTAGTACACCTTGGAATTGATGTCCCAACCAACTTGTTGCAAAATAAAAGTCAAATTAACACTTAATCAATGATAAACACAAATCAACCAACTAATATCGATTAAGGTATGATTGAGTCATGATTAAGCCAGCAAAAAAGTAAAAACCTATAACAACTATTATAAATCAAGGTCTAAGGTATGATTGTTCACACACATGCATTACAACATTTAATACTCATCTACTAAAATCTTATTAGATTTAGGTGTAAGAATATCTTTTGTAGATACCCTTCAAACAATATGGACGATCAACAAGACATGAAACTTAAAGACCAGTTAGAACAAGGGATGCCCAATAAGTCATTGAGGACCAATAGGGTGGAGATCGCCCAGTCCTGTAAAAACAAATAATAAATTGTAATAAAGAATGTTATCAAAACAATTATTATATTTAACAATATAAATATAAGAAGAAGAAAAAACATTTTATTATACAAATAGAAGTAAATAATTGGACCTCTAAGACACATTTATTTTCAACATCTTTTTTATCTTTTATATTCAGTTTTTAAGAGACTTCAATATTATAATTTGTATTGTCTTGTCTATCAAACTATGCACATTATAGAAGTTGATATATAAGTTGTGTATTTTGTCGGTTGAATCTTGTTGTGTATATATGAAACCATAGTAAAAGTTACATGTGTATGTTTATGTAGGTGATATTTGGTTGATGAGGTTGCCTATTGCAAATTTAATGGAAAATAAAAGTCAGCCATGAAAGTCAACCATGAAAGTCAACCATGACTAACTGAAGCCAATAAGACCATCACCATATAAGCTTTCTGTCATTATCTTCTGTAATTGCATACCCTTTACACTATATACCATAATTTCACCTTAAGAAGCAAAAAGACTTTCATGCAAGGTGAAACAATTCATCTCCAAGTCTAAAAGCAAGCTTCCAATTCTTGGTGTTGGGAATCTAAGTATAATTTAAGTCTCATATAATATAGAAATGAGAAAGATCAACATTTTATAAGCTAAAAGAGTCATAAATGCATGGATTTAAGGTTTTCGATTTAAGGTAGTATCATTATCTTTTATGGGTTTGGTATAGTTACTGGTGTTGTATCTCCATAATGAATTCTCTTCTGAAAGACTCATCACCTTGAATTCTGTGTAATCAATATAATTAAATGTTTTTCCTTATAAAAAAGTAGTTATTGACATGGATGAAATAAAGGCATAGGTATGATACAAACTAAAGCAGAACAATGCTGGATAAAAGGGTGACTAGTGCATCAAGGTCTACGCTTTTATGGAAAAAAAAATTGAAGTTGTAATAATCTGATTCACAAAATCTCAAGATCAGTTCAGTATTCACAATAAGAATAGGACACATCTCAGGTATGAACCCTTTCTTGCTTGTCAAGAAAGAGCACACAAACAAGAGTCAATTTGTCATTGCCATAGCATACTCAGTTTCTGGCAATATCATCACCAGCTAAAAAGTTTATTATAATTTCCACGAGAAACTCAATATTAAGAGAAGTTTACTTGCAACTTCATAGCCAATCATAAGGTTGGGATCTTTCTAGTATAAACAAACAAACAAAACTGATCTCATCAACATTCTTTTTAGTATGGAAAAATTTTGTACAGTATGTGAATGTATAACCACTCCGGCAGCTTTAGAATATAATTTGCAAGTAAGACGGGAGAATCATCTGCACTTTTTCAAATCAATTCGTTTCTGGAAGTCAAAACTTGATGATGACAGGTACCTTCAAAGATACCTGGTATAATGGATTACTACTCTTAACTTAATCTAATGGTTCATAGATATTTCCTAAGCAGTGCTGCTGCCATTCAACTGCTTTTCTTCTACTAAAACTGCAGTCCCATTATCTGAACTCTGATTGTGAGGCACGGTTTTGCTTCTTGTACGAGCCTTGCGGCAAATAGCAAATGAATCAGTTTGTGTTGGGACAAGTTTCTTTTTCTGTCTTCTTTCTCCATACAAGAATTCATTTGCTAGAGATTCAAGCGCTCTAACTGATAATGGTCGGTTTCTTGTGCTCTGCCTCCTGGAAGTTATACTAGGCTGCTGTTCCACAGAACCAACATCAGAAAAGGCTCCCAGTGGCTCCTCAATTACCCCTTGAGTGTCAGATAAGAAACATGGATCATCTGCCTTCAGGCTCTGCTTATCTTCCTCCAACATTACCATCACCACACCAATTTCAGACTTCAAAGGAGCTTGGGGTATGTTGAAGGTGACTGAATCATCTTTCTCAACTTTATCACCTGAACTCCTGTACTCACAAATTTCATTGAGAATGCTTTCTTTGTTATTCTTTTCCAGACTTTTTTCATCTGAAGAAGGAATTGAATTTCCATTCTTCTGACAGGTAAAAGGATCATCAACCTTTGTGTGGGATAAAGCCCTTTTTTCTGATCCTGAGTCTCCTGAAGAATTCTTGATGATGTGGTTTGTCTCTGCCTTGGAACATGCAGCCAATCTCCTCCTCTTGGCGGGAACAACTGCATGGTTGGAATTACCTGGTCTTGCTCTTCGACTACACTGATGCTTTATAGTCCTTTTTAGCTGATTATCATTAGACACGGAGGTCTTCTTATTTTCCAAGCTTTGGACCATTTTCTTAGCATTATTTTGGTTATCAGTATTACCAATTTTCATTTTGCCATATACCAGCATACTAGCTTCCATTACACTTGGCGAATCATCACAGGAGCTATCCTTACTTTCTCTTAAAAAACCAAGCACCTTAGATGCATCTTCCTCTTCAATTGGCAGATATTGCAGTTCTCTCACCAATAACTTTCCTTCACAAAGTACATCAGTACCAGCCAACTTTTGATCAATGTTTTCAGAAATGTTCTTGTTATGGTTTACTTTACTCATATGTTTGGCCTCTTCATGTGTATCAGCAACATTGACCTCAACTTCAGCCACTGAATTAACAGGTACAGGTTTAAATTCTCTTAAATCAGATGGTTTCCCTCCATGCACCAAACTGGTATCAATAACCGTGAATTTTATCTGATCTGTATTGTAAGTTGAAGCTCGCGGCTTGAGGTAACATTGATGACGGTAATCAGAATCACCATCCTCATTCGACCCCCTTTCTGGCTCTTCATCATCACAGCTACCAACTTTAGCTTCTTCAAGATCAAGAAGATTCGGTTCAGCTACCACTTTTCTCAAGACATCACTAACAGAATCAAAGTAATGATCACCTTTCACAAGTTTTCTCCTTGAAAAGGTCTTAACACCTGGGATAAGAAAAACCAGATAATCTTTGGAGCTCACATAACTTCTATATTTTGGTTGCTCAGAGTGCCACCCTCTTGCCAGTAAGCGAGGCCAAACAGCTTCCCAAAAGAGATCATTACTTCTAGCCTTGCTCAGTCGAAAACCTGTTAAAAATTTCAATATATCATTTGGTCCAAGAGAAGACCAAGCCTTGCACGTTGGCACTGAAAACACCTTATTGTTCTTCACAGGTTCCAGAACAAGAGTAGTAAGGTCATCCTTCTCCTTGCCAATACCAACTGCCCCCACAAGAATACCAAGTCCAACAGTGGATTTTATACAAGATATGTATTCTTCCAAAGAAGCTCTGCCCTCAGTATATGACTTAGAAACCTGATTAGAGCAAAAGTAAAGTGAGAGAGAAACATATAAACAAATGAAATGATAAAAAAATACACGTCCACTGGCCATAAAGGCTGAACCGAATCAATCAACCACCATTACATCACAATAAGATCATAATACAATCAGCCATTCCACCTCAATACGCCACTGTATCTAATGTACAATGTATGCATAAAGATATATGATATTTCCAAAAGGATTTATAGCTGAACCTTAGTCAGCTACAGGTATTATTTGGAGCTTGAACACGGAATAAATCAGATACTGCTAAAAGATATGGAATCCTAATTGCAAATGGCTTCTATTCTTCAAAATGATTAATATACGCTCAGGAAAATAGACAGACCATCATCATCATCTTCTATATTGTCACTTCATAAAGTTAAAAAGAAGGTTCTATTATAAAATGGAAGGTAAAAAATAAACATTGCACTATATCAGAGAAGTGAAAATAAAATAAATTGTAAATCATAAAATGCAGTTAAACAGGCTAAGTCGGTCGTCCAACAAATGAAATATACTTGTTGTAGTTCAATAATAACACTGAAGATGAGATGACACTGTTGATACCTGTAACAGAGTATCTTTAGATTCTCCCGAGACATGGGGAATCAAGCGGGACAGTAATTCTTGTTGCCTGCGACCAGTGAAAAGTTTCTGTCCAATTGCAGACTTTCTTCCTTTTAACTTCCTACAGTCTGCCCATCTACGATATTCATCAGATTTGTAAAACTTTCCATAGTAAAATGCAAGTATTTCCCCCATCCCCTTGTTCTCTAAGAATCTTTGTATTTGAATGAAATTTTTCCCAAAAATATACAAGCCAAGGAGAAAAACTTCTGCATCAGAATCACTCCAGGAGCTGCCTAATATGGCAGGAACCAATGCAAAATTTTTGCTTTCACCCAGTTCAGCTGAATTGCTGACTCCTGTCATCTCAGATTGAAATGTGGTTGGTTTGAGTTCATCTGCATTGTCTCCAATATATCCCCACCCTTCATTTTCACTACTCTCCTTTGCATTATGTATCCATGTGACAGAGATGGGTAAACCAATTGCAAATGAAAGTGAGTTGTCAAGCCCAACTTCTGACTCAGCAGGATTCCTTAGAAGCTGAACTCGTTCTGATTCTTTTATTAGGGAAGGAACTTCCACCTGGTATTCATCACCAACTCGAGGATTCAGCTGTGGAGCTCCAACTAAATTGCTTATATCAGGTGAACTTGGAGGACTATTACATGCATGTTCAGTTAAATTACTATTGTCATTCTGCTGCATTATATCCATCTGCGTAGAAACAAAGTATAACATACCAAGTAACTAAAAGCTCAAATCTTAAGAAGTATTATAAGGGAGATATAAATTGGATAATATTATCAAGGAGCACACTTCACATGTGACTTTCAGCAAAGTATAAAAGTAATGCATAGAGTTACTTAGCATCTATTCATTTACCTGGCCATTTTCAAAGCATCACACATTTTGAAAGAATTAAGATTTCATGACCCTTAGCTACCCATGAGAAATTGATACTTTATTTCAATAGTTAGGCAATAACAAAAGTCTAAGTGAGATCAACTACATGGATCACATGACACCTTTAATTTGGATAGAGGCCAAATTAGCCAATAGCCATATGACAACATGTTAGATCTCCAGTTGTTTTCACTTTCAATTATTCCATCACTATCAAATTCTTAAGAGAATCAACTATCCAGAAACTCAGTATTAGAGTAGAAATAACAGGAACAAAGGGCAAGTATTCTTCATTGACCAGTAACTCCAAAAGGATTACAACAGCTAAAACAATCTATTCCTGTACTAAGAAAATTGGACAATAGCTGAAGCTACAGCAATTGCTTATATGACAAAGCATCAAAATCCTCAACATGGGTGCCTGAATCACTCGCGTAAACCCTATTATTTCTCCATACCAGAAAAGCAAAATTCACTAACTTGTTCCCAAACACTGCATTCCTCAATGGCTGACACAGCCTCAAAACAATCACACCATGCAACAACCACCATACAACCTAAGGAGGGGAGAGAATATCACGAAATCCCTGAGAGGAGAACGATATACAAAGCCGAAAAATTTTGCTTACCAAAGAAAAATGTAATAACCAACCCAGATCCACTTGTACTCATGTTCACAATCAAAGTCCTTGAAGGACAACACAAAACAAACTGATCCACACGTACAACCCAGAAGAGCAAACGAAGAAACAAAAACCATTGAAACCAGAAAGAACATCACAAGTACATTCACTGACATCAATATTGAACACACCCACAACAGACAGCTGACAATTAATCGAAATACCAACGACCCATAAATATTAACAGGTATCTTTCTCCATCTCATATATCACAGCACATCAACACTCACACAAACTATACAATCCAAAGCAGAAGAAACACGGCTACACGCATTGGACGAGATAAAGGTTGATGACAAGAAAAAAACGAATATTTATTACCCTTTGAGCAAGTGGTGGGAACGTCAAATGCCAAGGCCTGAAAGGGGAAGCAATAGCATCAGGTAAGTGCACACACAAACACACACAGTTAAAATAACAATCATAAAAATTGGCGGTGATGATGTCCTTTGTTGATTTGCATACATGTGCTATGAAAGTGGAGAAAACATTAACGTAGTTGGAGAACAGAGCGAGAGAGAGAACCTGGTTTTGATGTCTCAAGTGTACCACACAACAAGGTAAATTCGCGGGGCATGGAATGAAATGAACTACTTCCTACTTGGTCCTGCTTTTAAACCACACCGAGCCTGTCTGACTCGTCCGAGTTGGTTACCCCGAGTTGAGTTGACGACGTGGTTTAAAAGCAAATCCTATGTTGTGTTATGACTTTGAGTTGATCCAAGGTGTTTTTATCAGTTTTTTTGTTTTGTTTTGTTACAGTGCAAGTGCTTCTTCTATGGCAATTAATTATTCTTTAATTGAGTGAGATCACTCTGAATGGCATAACTTTTTCAATAAATATCATTAGTTTATTGATTGTATTTGAACGTGTTGGTTAAAAAAAAAGTGTAATTATCCTTAATTTAAATACTAAGTGCATAGTTTTAAGAATGTCTAAAACATTTATGCCAAATCTATTAAGTAATATTGGTAACATACTTGTGGGGGATTAACAAAAACATGGGTCAAAACCAGGTGCTTCAAAGAGATGTGGTTTCAAGCATTTGATGGTGAAAAAAACTTAAAATGTTTCAACAAAACATGATTGATGATTTTGTAATTTTTTAATTCTAAGACTTATTAATGTTCCATAATCGATTATTAAAAAGTCAGCATTATTTGTTAACTTTCATTTTATTATGCTATTTTTTTTTGTAGAATTTTGTTATTCATATTGGTAACAAAAATACAATTAAAAGTACTTGAAATTACTTATTCAATTTCTTTATTTAAAATTAGTGGTTTCTGTGATGATGAAAAAAAACTTCAAATATTTCAACAAAACATAATTAATGATCTTGCAATTTTTTTAACTCTAACTCATTAAATGTCCCATAGTCTATTATTAAAAAGTCAGCATATTATCTTTTATTTTGTTAGGCTATCTATATAGTTTTGTTGTTTATATTGATAACGAAAATATAATTAAAAATAATTTAAATTATTTACTTAATATATTTATTTAAAATTAGTGGTCGCACATAATGTATATGTGTCTCCTATTTTTTTTATTATAAGCAATTATATTAATTTTAAAATAGTTAAATTTAAATAAAGAAATATTTTAAAAAGAAAGATAATAAGATAATATTTTTAATTTAAAAATTATTAAATTTAAATAAATGATTATTTAAAAAATGAAATGATAAAATTGTTATTTTAATTTGAAAAGTAATAATTATGTGCACTAAAAGAATTACTTTATCAATTATATATATTATTTAGAGTTAATTTTATAATTTTGTACAACTTTCATTTTATAATTGTACCTTAATATATTTATCTTATATCATTTATCTATTTTGTATTCTTATTTCATTTATTTAATTATTTGAAAGTAGGTTTAAGCCTAACTCAACCCCACAAAATCGGTTTTAAGGTGAGGTTTGCACCTCCCTTATATATTATAATTTGGCCTTATCTCTAGTCGATGTGAAACTTCCAACACATTCCCTTCACGCCGAGGTATATATTTGTTGACCTCTCCCTACAAGCTGGTTTTGTGGGGTTGAGTTAGGCTTAAAGTCCACTTCTAACATGGTATCAGAGTCATGGTTAGAGTTTATCCTAACGATATTTGTTGTTTATTGGACATATTGTTTCACTCGCTATCGGGCCGCTATGTGAAAACCTCACCTTACAAGCCGGTTTTGTAGGGTTGAGTTAGGCTTAAAGTTCACTTCTAACACTAATAATCTTTACTATGTACAAGGTGTAATAAACAAACAGAAGATTATGAGCGTGATTATCACAAATGATCATTGTTCAAATTAATATTAATAGAGATTAGGATAAGCTAATATGTTATAACTCACTAATACATTTATAAAATAATTTATTACTTACACATAGACTTATCCTAACTTCAATGCGTTTTGTAAATTTTTTATAACACACGATTTAGACTCAAATACATTAGCTTGTGTTCAAACATGGACAAGGCACTTTGTTAACATATATAACACTTTAAGGTAAAAGACAAGTTAGAATATATTAGTTCATAAAACTTTTATATTTTTATAAAACATTCTTTAGAATATTAAGATTATGTTCTATATTTATTAAAAAATTTAGAGTTGCAAAATGAATATGATTTTGAAAAATTGTGGATTATACATAAATTGAAAAATCATTTAAAAACAATTTTAACAATGTTTTTAACAAAGTTGTCTTAGTAAGTTATTTTTAACCATTGTTTTAGCCACAATCGTTTTCATATCTCTTGTCCATTTTTTTTGTTTTTTTATGTAACAATTATTTTTAACTATTTTTGTTCTTTTACTATGCATATAACAATTATTGTCATTCATAATCATAGTTGGTTTTTTAAACATATGATGATTTGAATTGTCATCGATTCTCTTCACTTGTAATGATGACGACATTAACAATAATGTTGTCATTTTTTTTTACCAATAGATTAGATCTGACCCCTGAAGTGTTAAGTCTTATTTTCGTGACCCACACAATGAGGGATTTTTCCAAAGTTTTTCGTGAAGTGGGTTGAGCCAGGGTTAGGATCGGGTTAACCCTTCATCTCTATTGTTCAAAACTTTATTAATGAACTAACTGTGGTTAAAGGATATGGATGTTATTTTTCTGAACCATGTTCACGTGTTTGTTAATAGCTTTTAATAGTTTTTCACGTCATTATTAATAACTTTTAATTGTTCTTCATATCATTCTTAATAGCTTTTAATTGTTCTTCACGTCATTCTTAATAGCTTTTGCGAAAGTTTCTCCTTAACTTTAATGCGAACGTTAGCTTCCATAAAATAATACTTTAATATATTTTAATAAAATGTATACCGAAATTGAAAAAACACTAATGAAATTAAATTTAACATTTTAATCTTTTTTACATTGTATTGAAAAGATAAATGTTCCAATTTTTATTATTCCGAAATTATATTTAACACTCTAATTATCATTATATTAACACTCTTATTTATATATATATATATATATATATATATATATATATATCAATTCGAAGTTAATTAACACTCTAATTATCATTATATTTAATATATTATTTGTTTTGAAATTTGGTGATTTTTTCATGATTTTAACATGATATCACACTTAGTGTTAAAGACGGAGAAAGAAGAAGGATGGTAACTCATATTTTATAATATTTTATATTCATGTTAAAAAGGAAAGTTCATGACACTTATCTAAAGGACTTTGAAGATATTTGATCCTATAAAGTTTTTTATTAAGGGATTTATTGGACTCTGTGGACTTTTTTTTGGGCCCAACCCATGAATTGAGGCCAAGTCTTATGAAATTGACGGGTTTAATTAATAATGGTGGAAAAATTTCATTAAGAGTATATTTTAACTATCATTAAAAATCGTTTTATAGTAATGACTTTTTTTTATGATAACCTATAAATGTTCAAATTTTATAATAACAATCTAGAGAAAATATTGTATAAAATTTATAACAACAAGCACAATTTCTACAAAGTAAATCAATCAATACAAAATAATAAATATGTTTATCTTTCCACCATGAAATTTAATTTTCACTTTATTCTTTCAACTTAATTCCCTTTCTTCTATTTCCTTCCTCTCTTTTTATCAAAGATATAATGGGTTTTAATTCTAATTTTGACATTTTTATATTTTAATCCCTGTTAATAATTGCAACAAAACATTGTTAGAAAAATTGGTGATATAGAAGTGCAAACGTGATAGGAGGTTAGTTGAAAATATAATTAATCCTTTTTTTTAGTCATTTTGTATAATACACTTCCTTAAACTCATCAAGATATTTCCATGGTGTAGAAACTAATATACTTTCACGCCAAACCTAGCTCTTACAGAAAAAAAAAAATGATCAAAATATGTCATAATTCCAAAAGATTAAATGTAAGAAATATTCTTTTACAAATATTGTTGTTAATTAAGTTAGAGTTTAGGATATACATTGAATATAGATAAATAAGTTGAGCACCTTATAAGAAATAAATCTTATAAATCAACTGTCTTAATATTTTGAATTAGAATTTATATTGTTCTTTTATTGTGTTTGATTAAGGTCTTATTGTTATATTTTTTCAATAAATCTTTTTTAAAATATTAATCAATGGTATCAAAGTTCGTTAATTTTATTGATTGGTTTAGACAAATACAATATGGGTAAAAACAATTAAATGTAAAAACTCCTTGTATCAAAAGTTTTCATTAGAGAAGTTTCAAGCATGTGTCGCTCAAGAGAAATATACTATATGAAAGTGACCTACTTGAAATTCAAATATGAATTTAGGTTTTATATTAAACATAAATAAGAAAGTTTAACATCTAATAAAAAAAACCTAAAAACCTAAGTTTTTTATAAAATAAAAATATGATTGGTTAAAAAGTATCTCACGATGGAATTTTAGAAAATACTTATTAAATTTAATGTTACCTTAAATAAAAGATGATAATTAATAAATAAGGTGAAAAAAAATAATATACGTAAAAATTAGAATTACATCTGTTTAACTATAAATGATAATAAAATATTTTGTTTTTTTAAATGAATTTAAATATTCACAAAAGAAATAATAGTTAAATATCTTAAAATAATCAATTATATTTTAATATAATTAATATATTGATGTCTAGTTAAAACTAATTTTTTAAATGTTTAAAAGTTTTTTACACATAATAATGTAGATAGTTATGAATGTCTAAACTAATACATAATTTACAAATAGTAATAAAAGAAGAAGAAAAAGCTATTAGTACGAACATAGCAACAATCTTAGTATATGTTTACTGTGTCCAAACAAACTTACGCTAAATCTTCATGGCCAACTATTATTGTATAATATATTTATTTTATCCTTGTTTTGAACTCACAAAAATACTCTAATAACTTTTATTTTGTAAATATAATGATAGTCTAAAAATTAAAATATAAATTTAATCGAGAAATACAATATGGTTTTTCTTTATTACTTCATATTTAAATCCTAGTCATGGAGCACTTTGAAAATAATAAATAAAAGTTTTCAAACTCATTTTCCTAATCACTTAAAACTTGCATGCAAAGCATTAAAGGAAAGAGAATAATCAACCTAATCCATTTTTATTACAACCTTAAAGCATTAAATCTACACCATTACTCACGCTTCACATGATTTTAGATAAAAACAAAAACTTGTCTGTATTAGCTCACTAACCTAGACTCCAAACAAATACACGGTTGGTGCACACAAACTTATATTACACTATTCCCATAAATTCATGTGCATACAAATGTAATTAAATTAAAGTTGTAGACATATATTGAATTTAAAGGTTAATTGTGTTTTTAGTTACTAAATTCTTATAAATTTGTTTATTTTTAAATTTGTATATAGTTTAGTTTCAAATTTTAAAAATAAATAGATATACTTTTCTTAATTGAAAAAAATGTATATGTTAAATTACATTTCAAGATATATTTAAATTTTTTA